ATATAATACTTTCATAATTATTTTCACAATAATTTTTTTTAATAAAATAGCACTCTAAGTAAAGTGAGTTAAATTCATACTAGCTCATCATCAGATGATGTTAATGCCCTGCTTCCACTGCCAAATATCAATAATGATGGCATGATGCGCCCGTAAGTCTTACCCTACCAAATAGCTGTGACTGGCTTGATTGTCTTAACATGGTTAATTAAGACCACACATGTCAGGTGATATTGATGAATGATAATCATTTATAAAAAAATATTATAATTTAATTAATTTAATAATAATTTTTATAAATCTTTTTTTAAAATTTAAATAGTATGATTCATGAATACGATAAAATTAAGAAATTAAAAAAGATTATTTCTCATTATATAATTTAATATTAAAAATAAATAAATATATATATATATATATAATATTGTAGCTAAAAAAGAGAGTCCAAGGTTTGAGAAGTAAGATACACCATTTTTCAGGTTACAGACGGAAAATGCTCCTTAGGATTAAAATTGAGAACCTCCTAGAAATACACTGTTTAAATTTTCAAGCATAAATCAGTTTAAATCAAATGTAATTCCATACCTAATACCTATTAGTCGTATAAGATCTAGAATGCACACCAGAATCTAAATGTTAAAGCAGCTTTCCCTCCACTCCTCTGCGATTGCTAGTTTAGTATATTGGATGAGGATCAGTTAGGTGTTTTTAGGCCAATGGCCTAAACATATTCTGATATTTACGTACACACAAACACAAACACATGGATACATATAATAATAGCTGAATCAAGATTCACAAAACCCTGTATGTTTTTTGCGTTGTCTTTTCTCACGGAAATTAAAGCAAATGTTGGCACAACACATTGCAATAATCATAAATTTAAGTTTAGAAATAACAAACTATAAATCCAAAAAGAGAAGAACAAGCCTATTTTCCTACTAACAGTTTCCTTGGTGAGAATAGAAGATGATCCGGGGTACTTCAGAATTAGCCTGAATACTCCGATGCCTGCAATGATAAAATGGATCAAGTATTATGTTGATGTTATGCTGATTTAAGGGTAACTTCCAAATTTTTGAAATCTCGGTAATGAAGTATTTCATCTCAAAATTTTCATTATAGGAGTAATAATGATTCCATCATATGCTTCAATTTAAATATAGAGCCTAAATTTTGATTTTTTTTTGCTCTATCAATCTACAAAAGGACAAAAAGGTATTATATTATTAAGTGAAGAGTGAATTGCCGATGGTCATGGGAATTTCATAAGATGTGTTTTATATGTTTTAATTTTTTACTTTTAACCTTGATTTTGTTATAGTTTGAATGGATAGGATGTGATTTTCAATGAATTTTATTGTAATTTTTAATTTTTGTGGAGAAAAAGACTTGAATATATAATAATAGAAGTTTCAAGACTTAAGTGAATATCTTTTCAAATTTGAGTGACTGTATTGCAAGAAGAAAGATTGTATTCAGGGACCCAAAGAAATGAATTCTAAGTGACAGGACTGAGGTGTTCATTATGTATAATCTGGACGACCAGATCTGCCATCTGCCATTGAAGAAATTACAAAAGATCCAAAAATCCGACACTTTTTTGACGTCGACACCTCCCGATAGGTGTCGACAGTGTGCGTTTACTTTAGTATTAGATTATATACATTGTAGTGTGGACACTCTAAGCATTTTTTGCTTTAAAAATTTCTATATTTAACAATTTCGATAATTATCATGGTTCTACTTACATTTAGCTAGGGTTTCAAACTCTATAAATATCTATCTAAAATAAGACTTTAAAAGCTTGTAGAGATTAAGAAAGAGGTAGTAACCAAGAATTTATCATTAAAATAATATCAAATTTTAA